CAAAAAAAAGAAGAAACACACATACACACAGGGAGAATTCCAAGTGAAGATGAAGGGAAAAATTGTAGTTCTGCAGCTGTAAGCCAAAAATGCTAAGGACTGCCAGAACCCACCAGGAACTAGGAGGAGGCCAGGAAGGGTTCAGAAGGTCTCGGAAGGAACAGGGCCCTGACAGCATCTTGATTTCACACTTTTGGACTCTAGATCACACTTCATTCTAGATCTGTAAAAAAAAGACAAACAATTCTGCTGTTTTAAGCCACTTAGTTTATGGTCATTTGTTAGGGCGGCCTAAGAGACTAATATAGGCATAGAAGAATTAAATAACAAACTTTCTTCACCTGGAACAAACAACTGTATAACCGTCATCAAGGAGGTGGTAGGAAAGGGAGAATCAGTGAGGAAAAGATGTCAGGGAACCTGTGAAGTCTCTTCCTGGATTCACGCAGGAGGTGTGATTGTGGGAGCTCTGAAAAAAGGCAGACAGGGATAGAAGGGAGAGGGTTTGATGATCCAAGAATTTTGCCAAGAATAGCTGTAAATTCTAGAGTAAGAGGCAAGTTGTAGAGTAACATTAGTCCCAGACCAAAACTACACCAACAACTGGGAGCTATTCAAGCCTTGGATATGGGTAGCGTCAAGAAGGCATATTTGCCATTATTCAGATTATAACCAGGAAGAATCACTGAAAAAGAAGAAGAAAAAGGAGGATGAACAAACAAAAAAAGTGCAAATAGAAATAAAAATATAATTTGACTTCTAATAACCCCCAGATCAAAGAAATGTAACAAAGGGTATACAGAACCTGTACAATGAAAACTGTACAATACAGGGATGAAAGAAAATTTTAAAGACTAAAATACATTGTATACCATGCTCATGGATGAAAAGAATTAGGTTGCTAAGATATTGATTCTGCCCAAATAGATTGATAGATTCAACATGACCCCAGCCAAAATTACAGCAGGGGTTTTTTTGTAAATATTGACAAACTGATTCTTAGATTTATGTGGAAATACAAACACCTAAATTAGACAAGCAGTTTTTAATGAAGAATGCAGTGAGAAAACTTACCTGGCAACATAGCATTTGTTAAAAATACAGACAAAAAAAGAACGAAAAACAACTGGTTGAAAAGATGATCAATGGAACATAACTGGCTGATTATTTTTGGCCAAGTAATCAAAAAAATTCAGTGAAGAAAGAAAAGTTTTACAACAAAAGGTGATGGGACATCTAATATCTATGTGGAAAAAAATCAAAACTTATAGCACACCATACACAAAAAATAACTGAAAGCAGATTATAGACTTAAACATGAAAGCTAAAACTATAAAACTACTAGAAGAAAACAGGAGGAAATTTCTGATCTCAGTGTAGGCAAAGATTTTTATGGTAAGGTTTTTAAACTACTGACTATAAAAGAAAAAAAATCGATGGATGAAACTTTACCACAGTTAAAACCTTGCCTTCATGAAGTACATACTTAATAAAATGAAAATTCACACCACAGACTCAGAGAAAATACATTATCTAACAAACAACTTAGAATCTAAAAAGAACCCTTACAGCTAAATCATAAGACAATCTAATTCTTAATGAATAGATATAAAAAGACATTCTAAAACAAGATATATGAATGTTCAATAAGCACATGAAAAGACAGCTATGAGTTAACTAAAAAGTATTTTGAGTTAACTCAAAAGTAGTTATTATGCTAGATTCCTGTTACTGCAGCAAAATACCTGAGATAATAAGCTTAAAAAGAGGAAAGGTTTATTTTGGCTCAGAGATTTGGAGGCTTCACTGCATGGCCAGTTGGCCCCACTCCTTTTGGGTCTCTAGTGAGGCAGTGCATCTTTGTGGGAGCATGTAGTGGAGGAGGTTGCTCATCTCAGGGTGGCCAGGAAGGAAAACAGAGACCAGGGTCCCACAGTCTCATGTGAGGGCACACTTCTAAGACCTCCCACCAGGCCCCACCTCTTAAAGGTTCCAACACCTCCTGATAGCATCATGGGCTGGGAACCAAATCTGCAAGACATGGGGCTTCAACGGACATTCTAGATCCAAAGTATAGCAGCCACCAAAGAAATGCAAGTAACCATGGTGAAATACCACCACACATCATTAGAATGGCTCACATTAAAAAGACTAAGAATCCCATGGGATGTAAAGCAACTAGAATGCCTGTACCTTGTTGGTAGGGATGTAAAAATAAATGGTACCTCCACTTGGGAGAAAGATCTTGCCATTTCTTATAAAAGAAATATATACCTACCCTGAAGCCTAACTACTCTTAGATATTTGCCCAAAAGGAATGAAAGAATATGTCCACACAAAGACTTTTACACAAATATGTACAACAAATTTAGTCGTAACATCCAAAAACCTCAAAACAACCCAATGTCCATCCACAGGTGAATGGATGAACAAACTACACAACACTACTCAATCATAAAAGAGAATAAACAATTGATTTATGTGACAATGCAATTGAATCTCAACGTCCAGGAAAAAAAGCCAAACCCGGAATACATCCTATATGATTTTATTATGAAAAATTATAAAATATGCAAAACTGGAGTGACAGACAGCACATCAGTGGTTGCCAGAGGACAAATGTGAAAGGAAGCTCGGCTTCAAAGGGCTAGAAGAATTTTGGAAGGAGGTAGAAATGTTCTATACCTGACTGAGACAATGTACCTGGATGAATACATTTGTCAAAGCATGGGACCATACATTTAAGGTGGGTGCAGTTCATTGCATGCGAATCACACCTTAATAAAGTTGGTGGAAATAATGAAAGCACAGGCAAGGATCTCCTTGTTATTTTAGAGCCAGAAGAGGCTGGGCTGGGTTGCGGCTTGCTTCTCTCTAGCGCAGCAGTCCATATCATTCAGACGCTTTGTTGACATGCAGCTGGCAATCAGGATTCTGAGTTTCCCTCTGCTGACTTATGCACGTGTCTCTCCCGCTCTCAGTAAATGATGGCGGTAAGAGGTTTGAGATCAATTCTCATCTTGTGTGCTCTGCGGCAGGAAACTCTGATTGTGATTCACAGTGTTTCTCTCTGTCGGCCTCTCTTTCAAAATGCAGAGAGATGGGGAAAAAATGCATCACTTACCTGAAAGAGGGAGGTGGAGGGGGATAAGCACCAGCTGGAATCAGGAGCCATTTAACAGAGCCTCCGACTGGAAGAGTTGGACACTGGGCTCCTCCCTGCCCATGTCCACCCCAGGAGCCCCTGAGGGCCCCCTGCAGCTGGTGTGAGTGATCAGATTGACTCACACAATCCCTGACACCACAGCAAGCTTCTGTCATGGTTCACAGGGCCGGGGGGGAACCGTGCATGTGTGAGGCCCTGGTTCCATGCCTCGTACCACAAAAGAGAGAGAAAAAAAAAAAACAACAGGGCACTTGCTCCTGCCCAGAGATGCTCATCCAGTGGGCTGAAGTGGCCCAGCATCTGCACTGGCAATGTTTGCCTGCCATGCTACCATACAGGTGACCTATAAATCCCACTTAGAAATTCTGTCCTCCACATCCAACCTCCAAAACCTCCCTTCTTTCCTGGTGCCACCTGTTCTCTGCGGTCCACAGTCTCCTATCCCCTCTTCTGGATATGCCAAGTGCTTTCCCAGCTGGCAGGGTCCAGAGGGACATGGCATAGGCTTTGGCCACCAGTCCCCCCTCCACCAGCTCCTCTAGTAGTCATCCCTTGATTTAGACAATTCTCGTTGCCTCAGCATCTGGAAAGTGCTGCGAGGTCAGCTATTAATATGTGTGTTTGAGATAGAAAATTCTGGGGCCAACAGCATTCTTACCTGTTTCAGTGTTTTGGTGGCCTGTATCTCTCTACCCAGATCAATTCCTGCCCTAAACTCACCAACCCCATTCTGTGAGTGACTGTGTGTGAGGTGCCCGGCTCCCTGCTGCACGGAGTGCCCTGGAGGGAAGAGCCTGGAGCTCTTCCCACTCTGCTGGATCAACCCATGGCTGGACTGGGAAGGGGAAAGGGAGTAAGGGAGCAGGAGACAGAACTGACAGCTTCGAGTCCTCTCATATTCAGCATAAACCCATGCATGAGGGTGGAGTCCAAATAACCTAAACCCCTCTCATTAGGCCCCACCCCCAACCCTGTTGCCCTGGAAACCAAGTTTCCAACACAGGCTCCTTGGGGGACACATTCAAACTTTAACAGCTGCCAGGTACACAGTGTGAGTCTGAGATCTGAGAGGCCTCCACAGTAGCAGAAAAGTGAGTGGATGAATGGGCCCTGGGCCACCGGTGACCAGTGGCCTGCTTGAGATGTACTCTGCTAGGGGACAAGGCCACGGCTTCCTGGGGTGACACGGGGATGGCAAGCCCCAAGGACAGCAGCGAGAGGCTTTGCCAGACCTTTCAAATCCTAGGCCAGCTGCCGTAGCTCAGTTCTGAGTCAGGGACACTTGCGACTCTGAGACCCTCCAGCTCCCTCCTTCACCCCAATTACAGAATCCCGGGACCCCTTTACCACCTTGTTCCAAATCCTTGTCAACCGGATTCAGCTCACCCTGAAATCAACGCCTCCCTATCTGTCTTTTTTGGGAGTAATAAATCCGGAAGAAGATGTTCTAATGAACTTTTTTCCCTCAAGAGTAAGGAGGTGCTGGTCATTTTGAGGCTTCCTCCTCTGGGTTATAAAAACTTTTGTCCTCTACCCTGGCTCCCAACAGATATTCTGGGACCTCTAGAGTCCTGCCAGAAGGTCACAGCGTTAAAATTGCATGTGACATTTTGTGTGCACATTTGTGGGTTTTCATCCTACTTTACAGGACAGAAAATCACTGGTACAGAAGAAGCAGCATCTTTGTAACCAACATGGACCAGATTGACATCTGCCAAGCAGAAACCTCCAGGTAGCCCACTGAAACCAAGGGAGAGGCTGCCGAAGTCCCTCTCCGTGAGCACCAAGCTCAGCATTCCAGCCCAGTCGCTCTGCAGAACCCAGGCCTGTGCTCTCCGCACCCTCCAAGTCCCTGCCCAAGACCCATACAAGTGATTCCCATTCTACAGATGGGGACAACAGAGGCAGAGACAGGGTACAGGATGTCCCCGAGGCCACAGGACAAGTAACAGAAAGAGGCTGAACCTTGGAAGTAGAAGGAAAAAGGAAGAGGAGGAGGACAAAATGCTTCTTTGTTCTTCTGGAATTCAGGCTCCCAGCTCTCCCGAGCCAGCTGTGTGCTGCGTTCTGGAATGTTTCTCAAGGCAAAGATAGCTTCTTTCCCTTTCTTCTGCGTTCTCCTCAGCTTCCCACCTGCTTGTTGCTGTCTGCTGGTGTCACACCTCCTGCTGCCGAGAGCTGGGAGCTGAGCCGGGCTGGGTGAGACCGGGGCTCCATCTGCCCGCGTTCTGGGACTGTCTGAAGGTAACTCCGCACCGACACCCTTTGCCAGGAGGCTGAGAAGCCTTCGGCGGCACCACCCGGCTCCCGGCTCCTCTCTGCACAAGGAGCCTGTACCAGTGCCAGCCCCTGGTGCCGCTCAGCCAGATGGCAGGGGAAGGAAAACAAAAGTGACCTTGTTAGCAGAATGTGTCTTCCCGGGAGAAGCTATTTTTGTTGTGGTTGTGAACTGAAGTCGTCTCGGCTGACTTCTCCTTCCCAGTGAGGGCTGTGGAATGTTAATTTGTTCCAAAGTTCAGTATTTTGATTAGAACCAGGAGTGCCAGATTTTGTCAGAAACATTTTGGAATAGAGTAGGTTCCTGTCCTCCCTCTCCCTCCCTCTCTCTCTCTCTCTCTCTCTCTCTCTCTTCCTTTTTTTGTTCCCTCTTTCTCTCTTGGCCACTGTACAAAGTAAATGTTGTTGTAGCAGCTGCTCCTGGGAACAGCCCGTCACAGATCGGAGCTGCGGGCAGAGCTGGCTCCTCCCTGCAGCCGCGACCTTCTTACCACAGACAGCCAGCTGGGGGACAGAAGAGGAGCAACACTGTCGGGACACGCCCCGGGTTTGCTTGGAAAGAGCGCACAGCTCGGCACAGAGCCGAGGACCCGGAGCCCCCAGAAAATGCATGTGCGCTGAATAAAGGAACAGGCTTCCCCAAGACAAAGCTGGCAGTTCCTGCAACCCAGAGGTCACCGTCAAGGGCAGCTGTCTGAGAGCCTTCATTCGCTCCAGCTTTGGTTCTCTTCCCCCGACATGCTCCCCCGTCTGTTTTGAGGATGGGGACAGGGATGGAAGCAGGGCCTTGCACATGCTAAGCCGTCACCCTGCCACGGCCCCCTTTCTCCTAAATGAGTTACAAACCCAAGGAGCCCAAGCAACGTAAGCACGGAGCAGATGAAAGCGCTCCCTGCTCCACCCCAGTCTTAACCCTTGGGGCTCCGTAACTGATGAGGTGTGGGCGCCCTGTGATGAGCTCACCAGGCACTTGACCATATCAAACCTATTATCCGTCATCACTCTGGCAGGGAAAGATGGCTGTTATTTTGAGTTGTAACACTGTGGATGGAAGTGCGTTCAGATCCAGGTTGCCTGGGGTCTAATCCCGGTCCCTTGGCAGTGGTAGTAGCAGCAGTGTAGACAAGTGAGCCTGGCAGAGAGTCGTGGTGTGTGACCACAAGCAACAGAAGTGGCTCCACACAGGTCGGCGGAGGCTGGACGCATTCACTGACCCGCGCTGAGTGCTGAGACAGGGCTGGCTGCTGTCATGACTGCTGTCGCCCCGATGTTGGGCCCTCCCCTCCTCCCCGCTACGTTTTCTCCATCTGTCTCCCAGGCTCTGTGCTAGGCTGGGGAAGACCCCAGGGTGGTGAGTCTGGGTTCTGCTCCCGCGGCTGCAGGGCCCTGTGGTTTCTCACTGGCCTCTTCCGCCTCCAGCCAAGAGAAGAGCCGGTGTTCCCAGGATGAGGTGGGAGGCCTGTTTCCTCCAGCTGGAACAACAGAGCCCCTCTGTGGGCTGGACTCGCAGAGGCCACGGAGCCCGGCCGGGCATCTCCAGGGCCAGCCCTGACGCCAGCGCAGCTTCCTGAGGAGCTGGGTGAAGCCGGATTCCGAGGTACAGTGGAGCTCACCAAGACAGAGAGGGGGTGGGGAGATTGATTGGTGCCTTCTGACCTATGTCACCTCCTGGTTGCCTCCCACTCCTCACGCCTCTCTCACCCCTCCATCCCCACTCTTGTGGCGGCCAGGAAATTGCACCTTCACTGGGAATAGGGAATAGGATTTCTGCTATGGCCCGCCCTGGGGCTTCCTTTCCAGGGCTGATTGGAAGGGTCCTTTGCTTGGCTTCCAAAGGGCTCCAGCAGGAGCAAGCAGATGCCCTGGGCCACCCCCCACATTTGCAGCCCACATGGAGGATGAGGAGCTCGCCAAGGTGCCAGGGGCTGGGCCTCGGATCTACATGGGGAGGGGAAGACTCCTTGTGCTCCAGGCAGGCCCCGCTGGTGCGGGAGGCCCGAGAGCTGGAGAGGAGTCTGGCCAGCCGCCCCTCCTCTCCCTCGCTGGGCTGGAGGGCTCTGCTGGAGGCTGCCATCCGCTGCTGCAAACATCTGTGCCTCCGCCTTCCTACCCGCCCAGGCTCTGTCTGTCCTTCCTCCACCCCCTCCAGCTGCGCCTCCTGCCTCTCCCAGGCAGGGCTGTCCAAATGGGCGTGCAGATGACGGGGAGACCCCAGGCCTGTCAGGCACCGGCAGCCATCCCTGCGAGGTCCCAAATAGGTCACAGGTGTGCCTGGCATTCCAAAAGGAGCGAAGTCCTCCTCACAAGGTCGGCATCTCTGGAGAAGGCATCTCCGCACTGCACGGAGACCATGCTGCTTCCCTGACTTCTGCCCTCCCTTGGCTCCCGTTCCCAACAAGAAGAGGAGACGTGTACCTGCTCACTGGGCTTTGTCAGCATTCACCTGGTCCGGCTTATGCTTTGGTCCCAGGACAGACCCCGTGGGGGGGGGGGGGCACACAGAGAAGCCTGGAGCTCTTTGGCCACTCTGCATTTCCGCTTTGACTTAAAAGCAGTGGTTCCGGGGTGAGAGGGACTTTAAAGCTGTGAATGAAAGATCAGCTAGAAATGAGGTTGGACCGTCAGAGGAAAGAATATGTATGCTTACTAGATAGTAAGACTGTACTTAGTTTTCAATGCGTACAAAGTGTGTTCCGAACACACTGTTTCGACAAAATGAGCATCTCTCAGGCAGCCCCCGCCTGCAGGAAAGTTGTTTCACCAAACAGTCTAGGTGTGAGCAGAAAGAAAACCGAAGAGGCTCACGGTCTCTGAAATGAGGACTCAGAGGGCTGACCCGCTTCTCCCGTACGCACTGGGGTCCACAGTTCTATCAGTTTGTCTCTTTATGTCCAGATGGAGAAGCTAAGGTTTAGGGACTGTGTGCCCAGATCAGTGTGAATGAGTGAGTGAATGAATGAATGTATGAGCTTATGTGTGAATTTACCTACGGATAGATGTTGCACTGTGAGGACACGTGAGGACACGTTCACCTATACATCTGGGTCATTTGACTACATGCATGTCTATGCATGTCAGCATCACTAATGTGCGTTTTTATAGCTTGACCATCTTCCTTTTTTAAATTTTTATTTTTATGTAAATGTTGGCAGCACATAATGACTGCATCCCTTGTGGGAGTTGACACATCTTAACATCTTAGTTCTCTTTTCACGTCCCTCACATCTCCTGGTCCCTTTCCCTTTTGCAAAAGATCTCCCATTGCCTATTATCTACCTCTTATTTTGTCTTTATTTGTACGTTGGATCTCTCATATGAGAGTAACCATGAAATATTTAAGCTTGTGTGTCTGGTTTACTTCACTTAACATTATGGTCTCAAGGGAGTTCATTTTCCTGCAGATGCCTCACATTTATCCTTCTATATGGCAGAGTAGTACCCCGTGGTGTAGAGATACCACACTTTCTTTATTCTTTCATCTACTGATGGACTTACAGGCTGTTTCCAAGATTTAGCTGTCATGAATTGTGCTGCTATAAACACGGGCGTGCATGTGTCACTGTAAAACGATGCCTTTGCCTCTAGAGGACTAATATTTAGCATATATAAAGAACTAAAAAAAATTAGAACCCCCCCAAAATAAAAGACCCAGTCAAAAAGTGGGCAATCTTAAAACGAACACATTTCTCAGAAGAAAGAGTAAAAATGGCCAAGTAATACAAGAAAAAATGTTCAACATCTCTGGCCACTAGAGAAATGCAAATGAAGACAACACTGAGATTCCATCTTCTTCTAGAAAGAATAACAATCACAAAAAAAAATCAAATAATAACAAACGCAGGAGAAGCTGTGGGGGAAAAGAAATCCTCCTACCTTGTTGGTGAAAGTATATGGAAATTAGCAGGGAGATTCCTCAAAAAACTAAGACTAGAAATTCCATTTGACCCACTCCTCCCCTTCTAGGTATCTTGACCATTTATTCTTAAGAGACGACCTAACTATACACTCAGAGGCTTCCAGCTGATATAATTCTATGAAGCACTGGGCATAGAGCTATTTTAGTTTATGACTAAGGACACAAAGTATACATCGTAAACTCTCAAATCCTAGATGACTTTAGTTGTGGGAGGTGCCCTGAGAAACAAAGTGTCCATGGTCAATCGAATTTGGGAAACTTGGGGTTACATGGAAATACACAGGTCTCTAAACGTGAGGTATCTCAGATACTTTAAATGCCAAGATGCATGGTGACTGAATATGGAAGGAATACACAGTCCTTGTTACACTCATTTGGCCTTGGAACCCTTCTGAATCCCTCCTTTGGGGAGGATTTTGCAGTAAATGCAGATAAAGTCTAGCCTAGGGGAATTTTGCGGGTCAGAAGAATTCATCTTGGCTGGGATTTGAGAGCTGGAAGCAGACAAAGGCAGACAGAGTTTAAGTTTCTTCTTCTGCTCACTCAACGTGTCTTGTTGAGCAATGGTTAAGAGCCAGGCCTTGCGAATGATCCTGGAGATATGAAGATGGATAAGGAGAGTTTCCACCCAACCTCACTGTCTGGAAGACTCAGACAAGGAGGGCCCGGAGTGACAGAGTAAGGGTGAGATTCAAGAAAGAATTCACCTGTGAAACACCTGGATTTTTCTCCCTAGCCAGTATATGCCCTGCACTAGTCATCTTCCTGTCACTGGGACAACACACCTGACATTTGCAAATTAAAGGAGAAGAGGTTTATTTTTGGTTTATGGTTTCAACAGGTTCAGTCCATGGTTGGCTGTCTCCATGGCAGAAATGGCATGATGGAAGAGTGTGACAGAGGAAATCTGCTCAAACCATGGCAGCCAGGAAGCACAGAGAGAGGGAAGAGCCAGAGATCAGAAAAAACACTTCCGGGTCACACACCAGTGACCCAGCTCTTCCCCATCTCCTCACAGATCATCCAACTAAAACTCTTCAGTGGGTTAGCCTACTAAAGAGCTAAACCGTGACCACGCTCTCTCGTGCAGGCACCATGGTGTATGTGAGTAGTAGTACTGTAGTGTAGCTTCTACCTAGCCAATCCGTTAATGACTATCTTCTTAACAAAGCAGATCAACTTTGGCAGAAGTAAATACACCCCAGGAAGGAAAGGACAAAGAAAAGTGCCCATTCAGGCCCACAGAACACAGAGAGGGAACAAAAAAGACCGGCTAGCCCTTTCTGTCCCACTTGCTGTAATATGCACTATCTTCAGGGGCACAGGCAACCCCGGGGTGATAGATTGAAATGCTGCCCCTTATTTCTCCTGGGTTAACTAGAATAATTTCAGTTTAGACTGAAGGAAGGAAATTGGGCAAAAGAAGAACAAGGGTGGGTGGGAATAGAAAAAGTAAAGAGGACATCAAATTATAAGGTGTAATAATGGGTACCAAGCCCCACCTAGCCCAAAGGGAGAACCCAGCATGGGGATTCAGGTACCTCTGCAGAAGTTCAGGAGGATAAATGGCTTCTGGGATATGCATTGGAAGCTACAGCATCTTAAACCTTTTTTTGGAGACAAGATCTCACTGTGTAGTTCACGCTAGCCTTGAACTCACTATGTAGCCCAGGATGGCCTCAAACTCATGGCAATTCTCCTGCCTCAGTCTCCCCAGCACCGGCATCACAGGCATGCAAAACCATGCCTGGCACTGTGGCACCCTAAAATGCCCTACTTTATCCTCAAATTAAACAGCAGGCAATGCCAGTGCCACCTGCTCACAGGTTGTCTATGGCTGTCTTCATGCCTCAAGGGTGGGGCTGGGAGCTACAACCCAGATGCTGTGGCCCGAAAAGCTCAACTACTTATTACCTGTCCCTTTATGGGAAAAGTGCATCACCCTTTGCTCTGGGCCACCAAGTCCCTAAGGAAAAGCCAAGGGATCTCCTTGGCTAATGATAAAGTCTGAGGTCTTTAACGCAACATTTGTGAAGTCCTCGAGGAGTCTCAACCCTCACTCTCAATGTGTTATCCACTTGTCTTTCCTCAACTCCTGCCAAGGTCAGTCTCCTTTGCTTTCAATATATACATTTGGAGGTAAAATTCGCATCAAAAGTTGGACACCTTTAAATGCACAATTCAGGGGCTTTTAGTACATTGTCGGCATTGTACTGCCATCACCTCTAGCTGGCTCCACAATGCTGCAACCATTCCGTAGCAGAATCCCCCAGCCACTCGAGCAGGTCCTTCACTTTCTCTCCACTCCTCAGCCACTGCTTTTGTCTCTATGGATTTGCTTCACTTGGACATCTCCTGTAAAGGGAGTCACACACAATAGGGCCTTTTGCAAATAGTTTGGACCACTTAGCATGTTTTTGAGGTTCACCCACATTCTAGCGCAGATCAGAACTTCTTTCCTTTTTAATAGCCAGCCACACAACTTTGACGTGTTTATCCACTCCTCTCTTGACAAATTTTGGTTGTTTCCACCTTTAGGCTACAGTGACTAGTGCTGCTATAAACACTCCCGTCCAAGTATCCACCTTAATACCTGCTTTCAGTTCTTTTGGGCACACACCTTGGAGCGGAATTGCTGGATCATTTGCTAGTTTTATGTTTAACTTCTTAAGAGATGGCCAAGCCATTCACAGCCACAGCATTTTCCATTCTCACCAGCAATGCACAAGGGCTCTGATTTCTCCATGTCTTCATCAGCATTTGTGATTTTCCTCTTCCTCCTCCTCCTCCTCTTCCTGTCCTTCTCCTTCTTTTTCTCCTCCGCCTTGTTCTTCTCCTCCTCCTCCTCCTCCTCCTCCTCTTCCTCTTCCTGTCCTTCTCCTTCTCTTTCTCCTCCTCCTCCTTGTTCTTCTTCTACTTCT